TCCCTTTATGCCAGAAGAAGACGGCCAAGAGGGGCACCCCATGGCAGGGCCGTAGGAGGAAGAGGGAATGGAGGGGGGGAGTGAATGGCCACGGTGGGGGCAGCCTACCAGTTTGTCCTAGAGATCCTCCATCAGCAGCTGCAGCCCCTGCCAAAAAGAGACCAAAGTGGGAACCACCAGCCAGCTAGAGGCCCTGGTGGGCAATGGCCCTGCCCATTTTCTGGGCACCAGGCCATCCACAGTACGTTTTGGGGAGGGACGATTGTTTAAATGTTTACAGAAAAATAAATAGTAAATGTATCCAGTCTTGTAAACATCTAATATTTACATCCCTAATAATGTTTGCAACACGTCAGACACCAGGTATTTCAGGTCACAACTGTTGTCAAGATGTATAACATGAAGAAACTGATGCACAACAGTCTACAGAGTTCAATAATAATTCCTATAGAATGTATTTTCATGGATATATTGGTTTAAACGCAAACACTTTCGACAGCAATCAATATGCTATAATTTATTTAAAATATTTCTATGCTGCCTCTTCAGAGTCCTGCTTGAGCTGGCTTATGATTTAAAAACACAGTATAAAAAGAACAAGCCATTTAAAAAAGCCAGCCATAAAAACCCCTAAGCCATTAAAAACAAAACAAGCCATGTGTGATATGTTGAAAACTTTGGTGTTTTCATAACCATGATATCTAGGCATGTTGATGTCCTTATTCGTGACCATGAGAGATTGTTTTTTATTTTTTTAACTTTTTTCAATTTTTTTATTGAAAGACTTGAACAAATACAAATAACAACATGAACAATATAAACAACCATTGAACCAGGCAGTAAATAAGATACACCCAAACTTCAGATAACACACAAATTTGCATTAATACATTCAACCTTTCAGCTCTCTAGAGTATTTAGTAAACTCCACAAAACCTGCCACGAGCAAATTAATTCAGATTATATTTAGCTCTGTTCATTACAGGAGACCCAAGCAGCTCAATGATCCAATTTTATATCAGAAGCATAACCAAGAAAAATAAGAAGTGTTTGTTGGAAGGATGTTATTGTTTGCCATATACTGAAGTAACCGAAACCAAATGAACTCGAAGCAAGAAGCCACTTCCCTTTTTAGATTTGTTTTCAATTTTTGCTTTTCTCCTAACTTTCAGACGGCAAAAATTATGATACTTATGCTAAGGGAGCATAGGATGCAGCCGTTTGCAACTCTCTCAAGTGTTTGAAATTTTGCTGCAGAAAACAAAGTCTTTTATATATTAAATTCCATAAACATATCACTTAGTACAATTTTATAACCAGCCAAGATTTAAATGATGCCTTTTATGTGTTAAAGCAGAAAAGCAAGTTTGAAAGAAAAGTGTTGCATATATTTCAAGTTTTCCCCAAATGTCTGGGGGGGGGGGGGTTTCTCAAATTTCACACCTCTAACAAAACCCCACCAGACCAGAACTGACATCACAGTCAGAACACACTGTTGCAAGCCTGGGGTGGGAAAATGAAACTTCTGAGGAACACTCAGTAAGACGGCCTTTCCACGTGCCACTGTTGTTCTAACACCAGAAGGATAATACGTTTGACGATGCTCTTCGAGGACAGGAGAGGCAGCATGCAAAGCCGTCATAGTGCCATCCCCACTCCTGGCTTGAGACACCACCTGTGAGATAACCCACCTGCCCCATCAGCTTTAAAGAGGCGAAAAGCAGTCATATCTGCACTGACAGCAAAACCAGAAGGCAGGTAGCAGCGGAGAAGGGGGGAGTGAAAGGAGTTGGGATGCAAAAATGCAAGGAGACGTTGGTTTAAGGACAAATGAAACAGGCCTGATTTACACACCTTGCACTGTATATTTAATCCTGAACTAGCAGACACTGTGGAAGGAATTTCTGCAAAACAACTAATGTCTACATCAGACAAAGAATACTCACCTTCAGGGTTTCATGGAGAACTAAAGGATCCTGAATCCCTGTGATTTCTCTCAGCTGGTTCACAAGCATGCTGGAGCTCTACGTCAAAACAGGCCCAAGAAAGAAAACATCAAGAAGATAATCTTAATGGCAAAACAAGACCTAATAAAAATGGCTTTGCTGGAGGCTACTTAGGTTTGTTAAAGAATTTAAAAAAGAAGTTTCAGAACAAAGTGCGAGTGGGCTGTGCGTTTTGTATGTTTATAAGAAGTTTCCAATTATTACAAGTTCACTTGGGTGGGGCGCGCTTTCTTTCTTTCTTTTTTAAGTACCCGGTAGGTACACTTTTATTACTTTTCATATTATATACAAACATACGTACAACATATAACAAACATCCACTTACATACATAACATATACAAGTATAACTATTACCATATTTAACAATTTTCTTAAATCACTTTCTATTGTTTCTGTACACTCTTATCTTTTTACCATAGTTTCTAATTAACTAAAAGAGATTAATAATACCAAAATTTCCATTACTTTGAACTATGCATTTATATTGTACCAGTCATACAGTTTTTTCCACGTCTTTTGAAATGTTGGGTCTGTTGTCCCTCTCATCAAGGATGACAATTTATCAATTTCAGCCGTCTCCAACAGTTTATTCACATATTCTTGCTTCTTTGGCGCTTCCATTTCCAATATTTTGCATATAATATCCTTGCTGCCGGAGATAGGTGTACTATCAAGTATCTATCACCTTTATCAAAATCCTTTGGAAATATGTTTAGTAGTAATATTTCCGGCGCTTTATTCCTGTCCTGCTCAACTGTTCTTGTACACGGCACTTCACCCCCACGTCCAATCAACAAGAAATGTGTTCAAGTGAATTCCTACAAGGATCTCTTGTACCTGTGAACTTTTCTCATTGTCATGCCGTCAGCATCAATGTTAACACACCTGCTCTGGACCACAGAAAGAGCTCGCTCTGCCCAACTCAAAAGCTTGCAGACTCCAGCACCTGTGTGTGTATGAGCACCCATCAAGTCACAGCCAACTTATGGCAACCTCACAGGGTTTCCAAGGCAAGATACTCTGCGTAGCAACCCTGGACTTCCTTGGCCGTCTCCCAGCCAAGGCCTAACCAAGGCCAACCCTCCTTAGCTTCCAAGATCTGACGAGATCAGGCTAGCTTGGGCCCTCCACCACTTACAGGCATTAATGAAAGAAAATCCCACCTGTCCCATTTTGCACTTTGCTGGTCTCACTTTAACCCAACTGAAAAGAAACGCATTTTCTCCTGGGAAGTTGGCAAGCAGCAAAGCCTTTAGGCAGAGATGGGAGGCAGTTGGCTTGTGCCTCAGCCCACCTTCATACAAATGCTAAGGGGTCTAGACAAAAGGAATGGTCAAGCTTCCCCCTTCTCCACCCCCACCCTTTCAGGCAGAGAACTGAGGTTTGGAGGAATAGAATTCTAGAAAGGGATTCCTGGAGATCTACATGAAGCACCTCTTTGACCAGGAGAGATGATAAAAAACCCTTTGCCACAGGAAGGGTCTCTCTTTTTCTTGGGTGCTGCGACCAGGACCTCTCCCCTGCAACCAGGCAGCCATTGACCATGTGGTCACCCCAAGAGCTGGAACAACCTTCAAGCTAATGGCAGCTTTGTAGGGATCTGTAACTACCTAAGCTAAAGCGGCATGTCCTATTTTAACAGCTGATAAGGCAGGTATAGTGAGAGGGACAGAGGATTTGCATTTTTACCGATTTCTTTCAGATTCGCTTGCTCAAAACTGGTGCTGTGCTAAAAGTATGTGTGATGGCACCTCTCTCTTATTTTGCGTGGTTTTAAATTTCTTTGTTGCTTCTCTCACTATCGTTGCCAACAGGAATTTAATTCCAGTCTTTAAATTAACCTTTCCCACAGTATTGTGCCCAAGCTCTACAGCTCCTTCGTTGGTCTATGTGGTTCTGAGAATAAGATTTTGGGTTAACAATAAACAAGACAAAACTTTATTGGTAAGAGAAGTGTATTGGTTACAAGATGTTTTGTTAAGTTGCTCAGTAAAATCTTTCCCATTTAACTCAGGTCTCTGTCAGCTTTTCCCCTTACACTCTTAAAATACTCTGACTATATTAGATTTTGTTGTCGAAGGCTTTCACAGCCAGAATTCATTAGCTGTTGTAGATTTTCCGGGTAGTATGGCCATGGTCTTTGGCCATAGAACCCGGAAAATCTACAACAGCTATATTAGATTTTGCCTGATATGCCCCCTTAAGTACATTTCCTTCCTCCTTTAGCATCTTAATGCCGTTCACAGCACTTCTATGTGATTCTAGTTAGAAGACTGCCTCTCAGACTGTGTAGATTGACCATGACTGACAGCTGACTTCCGACTGAACACTCACTGCCTTCTCACCCTCTCCAAACATACACACCTCCTAGCTCCGCCCACACACTCTCAGTCTCCAGCCAATCACCTCACTCACTCATCTCCCTCTTTCACCCCCCCTTGTTCTTCTGACACTTACCAGCCATTTAAAGAAACACACACATATAACTTGAAATCATTACACTAAACATTTTCCTTTTAATAAATACTTTATAACTGTTGATGCTGGAAGTGGTTCTCTATACCACACAGATCTCTGCCATCTCAGACACCTTATTTTAAAAGGGGCGCCCATGGGGGGGGGGCTGGCAGTTGGCAAATGGCTATTCCTCCAGGGGCGCCCAAGGTAGTGAACTGTTCCCATAGTGACCAGGCGCTGGGCAGTGGGAGACACAGAGGCAAGGCCTCAATACTTCCAAGGGAAGCTGGGTGTCCTCTCCCCCCCAATGGGCAATTCATTGCAAAAGGGCAAGTGGTGGCAGCCTGACAGTAGAAGAAAAGCCACTTCAGAGGAGCTAGGAATCCCTAAGAGGGCGGGGCAGAAGTTGGGCCTACAGACCAGAACAGGCTAGTTCCGCCACACCAACTTGCAGTTTTCTAACAGGTTTGGGTGCTCTTTACAGAGAGTTCAGCCAGGCCTGAGACAGAACATTTCAAACGCCACAGCACCAAAGCTAAAGGGCAGGAGGGCAGAAGGCTAGCAGTCCATGTGTTTATTTCCACCCAAAAGCAGCAGCACATGCAGGGGGACATATAAGGAGCCCGTGGAATTTACAGGGGCTTAAGAGCTATTTTAAGCTGCCGGCACATGCCATTTCAGTTTGTCATATCTCACTTACAACAAGGTGCCAGATATGCACAGCACTCCAGACCCGCTCTACCAAGCTGCCCAGCAACCACCTGGTTGCTGGAGCTATTGACTGTCTTCCTTGGCCATTTGACTGGTCCAAAAAGTAGGCAGATAAGGGTGTTTTATGGCACAGTAGAATCGAAGTCATATTGCGGCCAACACGAAGATTGATTTCAAGCAGCTGTCTCAAAGATTCCATTCAGCTCATGCATGACGCTTCCTTGGTCAACAACCGGGTCCCATTAATCCCCAAGTTTTTAAAAAGAGAATGGCCAACAATTGTCTTCTTTATAAATGTGAAGAAAGCCCCTAATTTAATGTCTTGATCTAGAAATCACTAAGCTTCATTGGCACGGCCCAGGTACACACACACACACAAACGTACATACACACTTGTACTCATTGCCCAAGGCAGTTTACACATCATAATTTGACATCAATAAAATAAAATAAACCGAAGGACATCTGCTTCCACCTGGGTGCCGGTAGGCTGTCCCCCCCACCCCGAAACAATATGTGGCCTAAGTTAGGGTATAACGTGATTAGCACCCCCCCATGTAAACCGCCTAGAGACCCCCAAGGGGGTTAGGGCGGTATATCAAATCGAATAAATAAAATCGCAAATGGTAGGAGGCTGCCTCCAAGACACGAGGCAGTAAAGGGCTTTAAAGGTCGAGAGACTATGACATGAATGGGAAATGCATCTTGCTGTTTTACAGTGAGTGAGGAGGAAAGCTTAATTTGAGGCCTTCACAAATCCAGCCACAATTACAGGGGAATGACAACAAAAGCAATGTGTAACTAATATCAGCATCTGTAGACAAAGCTGCAAACCATTTTCTGTACTAACAGGAACACTATCACTCCTCAACAATGCTTTAGGTCTACCAAAAAGCTTTCTGCTCTTCACATCAGTCATTTGACCTCATCTTGAATGGCATAATTAAAATTAGCATTGGGCCATGCTTACCAACCATTGAAACAAGCCACTGAAAAGGAAAGGATTTCCACTACACAGTGGTATGGCACAATATTAGTCACTATAAATAAGATTAAAAGTGACGCATAGCAGTAATGAAGAGTTTCATTACCAGTTGGTCACAACGTAAAAATATCATGGCAAGTCACTTTGAAACGAACAAACAAATACGCATGCGTGAAAATCAGAACCCTGTCTTCAGAACACAAGAGGCTCAAACCTAACACATTATGTACTTCACTTTTATAAACACGTCTCTCATCATATGAAAATCAAATCCATAACATTAATTCCTTTTGGAAAAGCTTTCCGTTTTGCATCTTTTCTTTAAAAATGTCTTCTGGACAGACTCTTTTCCATGCCAATCCCACAACTGGGTTTCCACTTATCAAGAGGGGCCCTGCTCCTCATCCCGCTTCTTGAGCAGAAGAACAAGAAACCCGGCAGACAGCATGGGAAGGAAGCGCCTCTGGAAATGATGTCCGAACCCATCGTGTCTCATTAATGAACAGAAGGGCCACGCTGCCCAAGGCACCACCACGACCCATTAACACCCCCTCATGCTTCAAGGACATTCATAACAATTTTTCCAAGCAGGAATTGTGTACTCCATATTAACTTCCCTGCTATTTGATTCGCAGTGTCACTGTGGAATCTACTGGTGGCAGTAGTTTTGCCCCCAGTAGAAGCAGGCAATTCACATTTCTTTGCATTAAGTAAAGGTGCCACCAGAGACAGGACTTAGTGTGGTGCACCAGTAGCTGGAAAATCGTCAACAAACCAACGATTTCTCCAGGTGAATAGGTAGAATTACCTGGACCATCCTGGTGAATGGTTCCTGTGCCCCATGCAGGTACTATGCC